GACTCATTTATATGTGAGGTTTTAGTCATAGCACAGACGTGACATGCTCATAAAACTTGATTTTTCTGGACCAAATATTGGGACAGATGGTCTGAAAATGGGACGAGCTACTTAAAACTAAGACTGTGCTAAAAATATGAAAGGCATAATTTCTCGAGTTATGCAATTCATCTTCCTTTTCTTCGCTGTCTATAGATAAGGTAGGAAAGAAGAATTCTAAGAACAGGGAAATGCAATCTGTGGGAACTATGCCAGAGGCTAGCTGTGAAAGGAACGACAGGAATGACCCTTAAACTGAAATCCTCATGACCAAGGTTAAGAGTAAATTTGAAGAAACATGAGATTGGAAAGAGTTTGGAAAGTGTTTATAGGGAGAAAGGTAAAATGATCATTTACATTTAGGTTGCTTTTAGTGTTATCTTTTTAAACCAAAGAACTTATATGCATAATCCATGGTCACAGACAATAGGGTGGGGAAGGCCTGGGGTGGGGGTGGGTGGCTGTGGGGTAGGTGCAGGCTAGAAAGGGTCAATGGTAAGGTGACAAGACGTCCCACTTTTGGCGGGACAGTCCCGATTTTTACCAATTTGTCCTGCGGTGTTTTTTTTTTTTGCCAAAAATTGGGACTTTTTAAAAACGCCACGGGGCCTAAACTGGTTTGGCTCAGTGGTAGTGTTGGTCTGCGGACTGAAAGGTCCCAGGTTCGATTCCGGTCAAGGGCATGTACCTTGGTTGCGGGCACATCCCCGGTAGGGGGTGTGCAAGAGGCAGCTGGTCGATCTTTCTCTCTCATCGATGTTTCTAGCTCTCTATCTCTCTCCCTTCCTCTCTGTAAAAAATCAATAAAATATATTAAAAAATATAAATAAAATAAAAACACCACGGGACAAATTGTTAAAAATTGGGACTGTCCCGCCAAAAGCGGGACGTCTGGTCACCTTAGTCATGGGGGGGGGGGGGGGGGGAGAGAACACATGTAACACTGTCAACAATAAAGATTTCAAAAATTAAAATAATAAAAAATAAAGTTTATCTTTTAGAGTAATATTTATTAATGTTTCAGATACAAAATTATACTTTTGAAGTAAGAAAAAGAAAACAAAATATTGGGAATAAAGTAGTTTCTGCTCTGTTTCTCTGTGCATAACAAACACATGGTGGACACTAATATTTGTTGATTGGCTGACTGGACGTGGGAATCACTTTACAGTGACACAGCGTGCAGCATAATGACACAGAAAGCTCATTTTAAAGGTTTGACCGGCAAATGTAAAGTTGTGAAGTGACAATTAATGGCACAATCTATTCTGAATCTGCCACCACCACCAAATTAGCCAAGTCCTTCTCAAACCCTTTCTTTCTTTTTTTTTTCTTTTTTTTTTTTTTATAAAATATATTTTATTGATTTTTATAGAGAGGAAGGGAGAGAGATAGAGAGCTAGAAAGTTCGATGAGAGAGAAACATCGACCAGCTGCCTCTTGCACACCCCTTACCGGGGATGTGCCCGCAACCAAGGTACATGCCCTTGCCTGGAATCGAACCTCGGACCTTTCAGTCTGCAGACCGACGCTCTACCACTGAGCCAAACCGGCTTCGGCTCAAACCCTTTCTTTCAACTTTTACTATTTACAACTATACTGAGGTCATGTCACAAATGCTTACTGCTCTCTCTTCTTTAAGGCAGGTGCTGGAAACTCAAATATCTTCAAGGGCCAAGCAAGTAATGAAAGCGAGGAAACTGGGCTGAGTGGGGAGCATGGCAAACAAGAAGCATGTACATGCTCTGTGTCTAAGGAAGCATCTATTGCTCAGTTCAAGCAGATGATCATCCTGCAGAAATGTAGATCTAGTATAACAAGACTTCCTAAGTTTTTAGATGCTGAAACTCAATGTTTTTATTAAAAATTTGCAATTTCTAAATGATAGCAACTAATTAAAAAAAAAATCAAGCACTTGCACAGCCAACAAAATTAATATGGCCACAGGGCTTTTAGCAAAGAAACCCTTCTAAGAAGGCTCCATACAGTTTCAAGTGGTACTCACTACTTGTTGTTGCTTAAGATTTGATGAAAAGGTTAATGAATTCACTTAGCTTCACTGTCCATTCTTTTATAAAGTTGGGTGAAATTCTCTCCCAATTTGGATCTTTTTACAGGCCATCGTAATTATTTTTAGTTAACTGAACTATTTGTAGTAAAATTTGGACTTGATGAGTGTGTCTATTTTTGTACAGAGGCAGAGAATTACCTACATATAATTATACATGCTTCTTTACTTGACTATTTCGATTTGATACCAATGTGTTGGTTTTCTGTCCTATCAGTGGAAGATCAGAGGCAAATTCTTTATTTATGGTAGACACAGGTGCTCTGCAGGACTCCAAATCAGCAAGGATTGCTATGCTGTTCCCAAGTTTTGTCTCTTATTTTTCACATTATATGAATGACTCCTTACAGCCTGGCTCTCATGCTAGAAATATGCTAACTGTGACTTACTCATCTCTGTACGCTGCACATCTGGCAAAATATGTGGAATGTAGAAGTTGCTCAATAAATACTTTTTGTACTGAAATGAACTGACCCACAGTATCACAACTCTTATCACACGACTTCAGCTTCACCTTTGGCTCATCCCCAAGGAGAACCTGAGCGATAAGCAAACTGCTCTGGGGAAAAAGGCTCACTCAGGGAACCTTGAAATACGTTGGAACATGTTCCTCCTCCTATTCCTATGGGAATCTACTGATTGCCTAAGATCCAATTTATTTCTCAAAAAATCCAATTTAGTTTTTACAAATTGGGAATTGACTAAAGTGAATTGTTCCATACTTAACAAATTGTAAACTACTAGTCATGCTCACAAGAAATATCAGGACAGGACAGCCCTGGCGGATGATGCTCAAGTGGTTAGAGTTTTGATCCCTGGCCCCGTAGCATTGTGTGCAGGAGGCAACCAACTGATATGTCTCTTTCACCTCTCTCTCTCTCTCTCTCTCTCTGTCTCCTTCCCTCCTTCCCTCCCACTCTTTCTAAAAAAATCAATGGGAAAAAATATCCTTGGGTAAGGATTAACAAACAAACAACAAAGAAATATCCGAACAATCCAGTTCATTTGTTTCTATAATAAATTTATAACAATTATGTCTCAGAAAGTGCTACCTGCCTTTTTAGTATATAAGGATACTGGGTTTCTCCAAATTATGCCCAAAGGGACATCATTAAACATTAGGAACTCAGGGCCTGTGGAGGCCAGACAGGTAATATAAATGGACTAGTCCAGCATATGAAAATCAGGAGCTGGCAAAGGGAAATTCAAATAACCCAGCTCTTCCTGTCATGAGGCAGTGCAGGGCCAGAGCCACCAGTCTACCCTGCGGGTAACAGGCCAGAACTGCGGGAGCCAAATGAAACAGGTCTGTGGGCTGCCAGTTTTGGCCTTGTGCAAAACACACTATTTTCCTAGAGCTTAGAGAATGTTTCCAAATAAAACAGCAGGAGGACACGCATGAAAAAAAAAAAAGTGGAAGTCACCTACACACTGTAAATTCAATAATACAGGATCCATAGACTGTATTAGTTGAGCCTTTTGTGATGTCTCACTCAAACCCTAAGGCCTAAGCTCTCAAACACCTCAAGGGAAGCAACAGCTTTCCCCTGGAAAGGCTTGTGTGTGGGATGTGACACAGAAACCGAAGTCTTAACACATTGGCTTCATTTAAATACACATGTTTGAGGGGTGGCTGGGCTCTCCTAGAAAGAATGGAAGCCAGGAAGTTGCAATGGGTTTTGACCCAACTGTACTGGTCTTCAAACACGTCATCCTTTTTTTAACTGAAACGAACACAGTCACATAGCTCAAAACGTCCCAGTGGGATTGAAATAGAAGAGAGTACTAAAGTGGATTTTGACAATTCACTTTATCAAGGTGAATTATTGTTTTATTTTATTTTTATTTTCTGTTCCATATTCTCTATTTATGGGAATTGTTTCTAGGAATAGATATTTCTGATGGGGCTGTCAATCAAAGGGCTTTATGAGTGGGCACAATATCTAGGATGACCAGTGAGAATCCCATTTGCTGGATGGAAGTATTCATGACAAGGCAGGCCAATAAAGGATCTATTTCAGAGATTAAAATGCTGGAATGGGTGAGATGGCAAGAAGTAGGGACCGTGTAGTCCTAGCTCTCCCAATAAGAGAGCTAAGGAGGGTAAGGAGGGGCGGGATGGGGAGGAAACTCCTACCAACACACATGAAGTGACGGAAAGAGATTCCTGATAATCATCTGAACATAGGTTTTCACTGCAGTTACTGCAAACTTGATCAACAAGAAAACTTCTATTGAGTAAGTCTGGTTTGTCCCTATAAATTATAGCTGAGAGCCAAGATTATACAAGAAACATTTGGGGTTCATATTTTTATTTAAGGAAAACGTGGATCCAAATAAATTAATTTCAGAATCAGACAGCTGACTTGTACAACTGCTTTCTGGCTCTACATGAATTTGTAATTCACATTTATGTTCTATCCATTTGAATTCACTGATGTCAGCAAATAAATAGTTTTTTTAATTCTCATTCAAATATTATTTTAAAATATGACTTTTGTACTACGTATAGCAATAATGCCATGTCCAGTCCCAAAAATCAACAGCACATCAAAATCATTAAAAAATTAATTTCAAAAGTTATGATGAAATGAACACGCCAGTCAAAAGTTCCATGCCAGACTGTATATTCTTGAACACATGTTGAATTTGATAACCTATCAAGTATCGATAAGTTTGAGTTGAATTACAAACTCTAGTAAAGTATTCATCTCTGGTTAGAACACAGAATCTGCATTTATCCTCTACAAAGAGCATCTTAGGAACCCTGATTTAGCTGACAATACATGATGAAGAGATTGCATTTAGAATGTTAAATATGCCTAGGCCAGGTGAAAATGCCTTTCAGCTGACTTTGGCATTCAGATTACCCGTGGGGCAGAACCATGCTCACCTCCTCGTTCTCGATTTTGAGAGTGGCCAGTCGGGACTGCAGCTGCTGGTACCTGAGCATGAGCTCCGCCTGGACCGGCTGCTGCGCGCTGACCTGACACACCTGGTGGGGAATCAGAAGCCACAGTTACACAGAGCCAGCCTCCAGAGCGTGGCTCTCCCGTTTAAATGCTCCGTGAATCACGCTGATCCCCATTCTAGTTACATATTTACTTTTTACAGCCTCCTCAAAACCTCAGTTTTGAATATGAACCAGTTACGTAAGTGGAAAGAGCAGAATGCAGCTGCTTGGCCTGGATGTGACTGGAAAGGGAGCAGCTGGAGGCAGCATCGCTCTAAGAACGGGGCAGTTGTTGGAGACAGAGCCCTGCTGCTGATGCCTCAGCCGCGGAATTCTTAATGACTCGGGAAGAGAGCAGAAGGCAGAGTGGGAAGGATGATCCAAATGGACCATAAGGGCAACACTGGGGTGGGAGCAGAGCCTACTGGTTCCAGTCAGCTGGGTGACTGGGGAAAGCTACTAAACCTCAGTTTTCTTCTCTGTAAAATGGGGATAATAAGAGTGGCTGTGCCACAGGGTTGTTGTAGGGATGAAATGAGATAATGTACATCAATCACGTAGAACACTGCCTGGAAAAGCAAAACCTCAAAAAATGTGAATAGCTATTATTAGTATCTTTCAATCATGGCTTGTCCTGCCAGCACCAGCCAAATCACGTGATTCACCATGAACTTGAAGAGGCCACTTATCTTGGGCTTTGTCAGAAAGATATTCTGGCCATGATCTCAATTATGAATAAGGTCAAAATTAGGATATTTTAATCATATTAAAATCCTGTCAGAAACAATTTCTTCTCCTCTTTCTTGTTTTAGAAATAAGAAAAGGAAAGGAAAAGAAAAAGAAATACTCTCAGCAGATGAGGGCTTTCTTTCATGGAGTCTCTGAAACATCATAGGGATTACTGTTCCCTTGCAGCACTGGCCATTAAAAAAAGGCAACAGACTCACTATTAAAATAATAATAGTTTTAAAAAGGTAAAAACTAGTAACCCAATTGAAGTCACTTGTCCATAATATTTTATCATTCTATAGGGTGGGGCAAAAGTAGGCTTACAGTTGTTCATATGAAAAATAATACTACAATTGATGAGTAATAATACAAGAATAAACTATTTCATGTACTCACCATTGTAAGTCTGCCCCACCCTGCATGTTTATCACATCCATAACTGAAAAGTTAAGACAGCATCCCTTGGAGAAACATAACTCTGGTTATGCGAGTGGCAAGCATAAGCCATTCGCATGTCAAATTCACTTTCTATTGGTTTTAAACATACTTACCTTTTCTAATAAAGTGATTCACTATGTCAAATCAAGTGAAAATAAAATTAGATAAGAAATATAGCAGGTATACACATAATCAACATACATATCTTATAAGTCTTAACATTAGGTACTTCAGGAAAAAAATTATGGCACTAAAGAAATCTGCTATGGGTATTATAATTACATCTACTTTTAAAAACATACTGTCACCACAATAAATTAAAGTTGTATTTTCCATCTATAAGTATTGTTTTGCACAGCCGGGATATCAAGTGTTACCTAACATGCTCCATTAATTGGTTCTTCTTGTTTTCCCCTCCACAGACAGTAAAATATACCTCTGTAACTCATAAAGGGTTTAAATGGGATTTTTTTCCTCTGGGAAAATAGGATTGTTTTGCATTTTTCCACTGTCTTATTTTTACCCTTTACAATTATTTTTCTTCATGAGTGGGGTCTTTAAATCAGGATGACAAGAAATCTTCAGATAGATTCTACTGGGCCTGCAAAATGTTTCGTTTTGAATTTAAATTTGAATGTCTGGGAGTGGAGGAAGCACTCTCTAACTCTCGTGGGACAGTTTAGTGCTTACACCAAACAGAGCTCGTACCTACATTTGTTTGACCTCTTTAGGCCATGGTTAATTCTTGCTTTAAAAGGCGGTAGTCATGGCTGATCTGAGATAATACTATGCTAAGATCCCATACAAAGGCAGGAGAGAGAAAACAACTGGAAATTGTTACAACTGTTGAGTGACAGTAGATGGAGTACTGTGAGTGAAGAGACAATTCATCAGTTTTGGAATAATTACCGACCTCATCACCCATGTGAGACTGAAACTCAAACTTCATTGGAGGGCAGAAGGCAGCAGGGTACATCTCCATGAATCTCTGCTTATCATTCCTGGGCTCCAAATTGTCGACTGCATTCTCAATAATGTCTAAGCCTTCGTGTCTGGAGGTCTCAAGGTTGTACTCCGCCGAGAGATACGTTCTGAGGGCTCTGTTCAGACTTGCGTGGTAGCCAAGGTCACAGCACTTAAAAATGAGAAGAACACCATATGAAGGGACTGAGAAGTGCATCGGTAGTTACAAAAGAGTCACAGTGATGTACAGTATAGCATAAGAAATACAGACAATAACATTGTAATAACCATGTATGGTGCCAGGTGGGTGCTGAGAATATCAAGGGGTACCCTTTGTAAGTATACGATTGTCTAACCCAGGGGTCGGCAAACTCATTAGCCAACAGAGCCAAATACCAACAGTACAACGATTGAAATTTCTCTTGAGAGCCAATTTTTTAAAACTTTAACTTCTTCTAAAGCCACTTCTTCAAAATAGACTCGCCCAGGGTGTGGCATTTTGTGGAAGAGCCACACTCAAGAAGCCAAAGAGCCACATGTGGCTCACGAGCCGCAGTTTTCCAACCACTGTTCTAACCTGTACACCTGAAACTAATACAAAATAATACTGAATGTAAACTGTAATTAGAAAAAAAAATTTTAAAAACACTGTATACAACAATTAATTAAAAAAAAGATCAAAGACCTAAATGTGACAGCTACAGCTATTAAATTCCCAGAAAAAAAACATAGGAGTAAAACTTCATGATCTTCCTTTCATTAGGCGTGGGTTTCTTGGCTCTGGCACCAAAAGCACAAGCCACAAAAGGAAAGAACAAACACATTGGACTTAATCAAATTTGAAGACTTTTGTATTTTAAAGGGCATGATCAAGTAAAAAGGTAATCCACAGAATGAGAAAATAATTTTCCTTGCAAATCATATATCTGATAAGGAATTTGTATCTAGAATATATAAAGAACTCTTACAGCTCAATAATAAAAAGACAAATAGCCCAATTTAAAAAGTGGGTAATAAAGCTGAATAGGTATCTTTCAAAAAAGATCTACATAGGGTCACAAGCATATGAAAAAATGCTCAACATCATTAGTCAGCAGGGAAGTGCAAAGGAAAACAATAGAGAGATACCACCTCACACTCAGGATGGCTCCAATAAAAGACAAACAACAACTACTGGGCAGGAGAAACTGGAATCCTTATACACCGTGATGGAAATGTAAAATGCTGCAGCCACTTTGCAAGAGTCTCATAGTTCATCACAAGATGAAACAGAGTTAACATATTACTTGGCAATTCCATTTCTAGGGATGTATAACAAAACAAAACAAAACAAAACAAAGCAAAACAAAACAAAACATATTTTCACACAAAAACTGTACTTTAATGCTTATGACAGCATTATTATTACAGCTGAAGAGTAGAAACAACCGAAGAGTCCATAAATTAATGCACAAAATGAAATATTGTTCAGCCATAGGAAGAAATGAAGAACTGATAAGCAAAGTGAAAGAAGTCACAAAAGACCTCACATTATGATTCCACTTATATTAAAGATCCACAATAGTTAATCCATAGAGACAGAGGTAGATTCATAGTTGCCTGAGGCTAGGGGATGGAGGAATTGGGGAGTAATGGCTAAGGAGTGTAAAACCGCTTTTTGGAGCGATGAAAATATTCTAAAGTTAACTGTGGTGATGGACACACAACTTTGTGAATTTACCAAGAGTCAATTGTACATTTTTAATGAGTAAACTGCATACCATGTGGATAATATCCCAATAAAGGTGTTACAAAATAAAAGCAAAACCAAACATTGAAAGGAAATAATGAAAAAATAGCACTCGAGTTTGCCCAGCCATACAGAGGTCACTACAATGAGTTATGGGAGTCCTTCTAGAATACAAACCTGCTAACAGTAATATTTTGGATTTGTACAATTTACTGAAGACTCAGTAATAATCTGTACTCTTTCAGAAAGGAGAACAGGTTTCAATCTGCACAAAGAGCCTGGGAATGCCTTATTTATTATCCTTAGAATAAAATTATTTAAAAAAGAAATTCTCACCCAAGGGTATTTTCCCATTGATTTTAGAGAGTGGAAGAGAGAAGGAAAGACAGAAATATTGATGTGAGATTTTTGGTTGCCTCCTACATGAACCCAGGGCCCAGGCTAGGGAGAAGCCTGCAACCAAGGTACATGCCCTTGACTGGAATCGAACCTGGGACCCTTCAGTCCACAGGCCAATACTCTATCCACTGAGCCAAACCAGCTAGGGCCCTAGAATAAAATTATTAAATTATAACAAATGGTTGCTAAAGTCCTTTTATTAGAGTTATAATTTTGTTTTGTAGTCCTGGGAATAAAAGGGCTTTAGGATTCTTGAATCTTCACTACCATTAACTTGTTTTTACATTTACTTTTTCATGTTGCATTTCAAGAGAATGTAATTTTAAAACTATATATAGCGCTGTACAAGATCAGTTATAAATTACTGACAGAATTTACATTTGTACATAAAAGTAATATAAATATTTAAAAGATAAAACAAGTGGTTTTAGGGATACAAAACCAGATCATCCTTATATTGTTCTAATAAAGTTCAATCAATTCAACTTGATTGAATTCAACTCACTAATTGGTCATCTACTGGGTGCCTGGGAATTCAATAGGCTCCAGAAATATGAAGACTGGAAAACAGTAAAAAAAAAAAAATCTCCCTTCTCAAGGAATTCAAATGTAAGCTGCTCGTTAATTTGCTGTTAAGAGTAGCAGAGAGACACAAAGGAAACCTCCTTTGTATACAGGATGCTCCCACCAGGACACGAGCCGCCCGATCTGATCTGCCTTCACGAAGGTCCACATCCAATCACGGACCTGGCCTTAGAAATACCAGTGCATTTCATTCCACCCTCTCCGTCCAACTGTAACATTATTCAATTTGAAATTTTTACATAAATATATTCTAAAATCATGTAACTCGGCTAAATGCAAAAGGCTAAAGACAGCTTTAACAGGTTCGGCTCAGTGGATAGAGCATCGGCCTGAGGACTGAAGGGTCCCAGGTTCGATTCCGGTCAGGGGCATGTGCCTTGGTTTCGGGCACATCCCCAGTGAGGGATGTGCAGGAGGCAGCTGATCGATGTTTCTCTCTCATCAATGTTTCTAACTATCCCTTTCCCTTCCTCTCTGTAAAAATTCAATAATATATAGATTTTTAAAGGCTAAAGACAAAAAAATAATAATTAAAAAAATAAATAAAATCTTGTTACTCAAAGTTGGTCTGTGGACCAGCAGCATCAGCATCTCTTGTTAGAAAACGCAGATTCTTGGGCCTCACCCCTGACCTACTGAATTGGGATCTGAAGTTAAAAAGACAACCCGCAGGAGATTCCCATGCACAGTGAAGTCCGAGGAGCACGGTACTGACGCAAGCTGTGCTTTCGGGGTGCTGCTTCTCCTGGCAGGCAAGAGAATCGACTTGATGAAAGGTTTACTTGATTTAAAAGAGCAGAAAGTAGCGGCCACATCACAACGACAAGCACAAGCAAAAGGCAGTTGCGGGATGCAGCAATCCGTCTCATCATTAATACATGTCCAGTGGCATCAGCTGCACTCACACACAGAGAATATTTTCGGTTAATTAAAAAATTCTAAATTCTAGCCCGAGATGAGCAAAGGCTGCTTTTATCCCTCTTGCTCCTCAAAAATCCATAAAGGCTCTTTGTAGCAGTGTTATACACATCAGAGAGACTGAAAATTCTGTATTTCAATAAAACCTCGTCTTCTGAAAGCACGAATCTGTAAGGAAATGGCCTCATCATGAGATGTGCCAGTGCTTCCAAACACCCCACTATTCTGCAGGGAAAAAATTCAACTTGATTATAATGAAGCATCACACATAAGTGGCTGTACTGTATGAGTTCTGAGCCCAATTGGCATCAAGAGAAAAACTGATATTGAGAAGGGAGAAACAAGCCAGAGAAAAGCCCTTCCACCTCTCCCTACAAAAGCCAAGTCTCTCTTCAATTTAAAAAAGAGGAAGAGAAAAAGAACAAAGGAGAGAGAAAAAAAGAAAGATCCAACCACAACTACCCAATTGAGGTAGAGCTCTGAAAAATACATAGTAAGCTTTCATTATTCCCAGGAGGAACAGTTCATCCCTCAAAATTCCAAGCCTGCCTTATTTTGGAGTAACCGTCAAGATGACAAAAGCCCCCGTGTTTCCACATTCAGGTCAGCGGGCCGATCTGCTAGGTCTGGACCCAGTCACAGACCTTGACTTCACTTTGCATCCTAACAGGCCGGGGAGAAGCATGCGCGTGGCTTAGTAACTGATCCAGGGGCCTTGCCAGGTGTCCTCCCGACTTCGACTGCTCCCCTCCGGAGGTTTCTGTGATGAGCTTTGAGGGAAAGTTTTCTTCCCTGACCCCTACAGTGCTATCAGTCTGTCCGGTCACTTAATTGGCATGGTTTTGTTATGTCCCATATTCGGTGTTTTCACTGATCTAGATTTTGCAAGCATTCTGGACATCAAAAGAAGTAAGAAACAGGGATAAAACTCTTATTCGGGGTCGCCTGAGATAGCAGAGTCTGTGACAGAGTTATCTTGTTTCTAAACTAGAAGCTAAAACAACACTGAATATGTTAAGATTGAAAATACTTGGTTAAAAAGACCTCAAGTAATTCTATGGAGCTTATGAATTATTAATGATGATATGGAAAGCCGGCTTCTGCACAGAGTTGAGTTATAACCCAAGCACATTTAATGATGAAAATACATAAGAAACCAATAAAATAGTTCATGAAGACAAAAGCATTGTGTGTATGTGTTTTGTTTTGTTTTTTAAACTGTGAGTGGATACATAAAATTATAGATCAAAACTAGGGAAAGATTGTTGGATTCAGATGGCTGTATTTTTTATTTAAATATCCTGAGAGCTGCCAAGATAGATTCCATTAGATATTAGTCTAACTCACCAAAATAGGCTAATTTCCTTAGGTGAAAAGGTTGTAATTAGCATCAAAAAAGAAGATGAAATCCAGGTGTTGAAGACTGTGATAACTATTTCCAAAGGCTGGGAGGTCAGCTGAAGTCTACTTTGTGGGTATGACATCAGGTAAAACTGGACCACAGCTGTCCTGGGAGCTAACTTTTTTTTTTTTTTTTTTTT